GCTCCATCAGCTTGTGTTTCTGAGTGGGTGGGATAAGCACAGCCCCCTTGTTGGCCCCCAATGGACATGCAGCATGAGAAATAAATATTTGTTCCTTTAAGCCACTAAAATATTGGGATTATTTGTTACTGATACATAATCTAGTCAATGCTAACTGATAGAAACTCCAGCTCCCTCCAAGAATGCTACCACCCCATACCTCAGTAATTAATAATCCACTGTTTTCCTCTAATTCATCAATATTTCATGCATTTTAGGTTTGTGCCTACAACTGAACTGTCTGAAACCAAGCCTCACATGTTATGCTTCCATATCCTTCACAATGGTAGAGTGTAATGGCTAAGTGCACTGGCTTTAGAGTCGAGCAGAACTAGGTCCAAATCCCAGACCTATTCAGTGTGACCTTGGCCAAGTGATTTAACCTGGATGAGCCTCAGTTTCCCTATTCCTAAAATGGGGATAACAAGGCAGGCATCCTAGGATTGCTGTGAGCTTGGGATTTATTAAATCCCGGGGACTTAGCAAGAAGCCTGGCACACAGTACGAGCCTAATGGTTTAACTTCAACAGTGCTGAACACACAGGAGGTGCTGACTTGCTGTGTGACTGGTGCCTCCTTTTGATGAGCAGGGTCTTCCAACTTTGGGCCCGCAACTTATAAGTCCTCCCTAAGAACTAATAAGCTATCAAATATTTGGAGACAGCTTTCGTGAGTACCATTCAGATGTATTCTTTTAAAATAACATCATCAATCAAAACTGCAATGAGATACCACTTCATATCTACCAGGACGGCCACAATGAAAAAGACAGACAATAACAATAACAGGTGTTGGCAAGGATATGGAGAAAGCTGAACCGTCATACACTGCTGGCAGAATGTAAAATCATGCAGAAGTTTTGACAAACGTCTGGCAGTTCCTTCAGCAGTTAAGCTTAGAGTTATCATATGATATCGTTTGGATGTTGTTCCTTGCAAATCTCATGTTGAAATTTGATCCCAGTGTTGGAGGTGGGGCCTGGTGGGAGTCATTTAGGTCATGGGGGCGGATCCCTCATGAATTGCTTGGTACCCTCCCCACAGTAATGGGCAAGTTCTCATTCTATTAGTTAAGGCAAGATCTGATTGCTAAAAAAACAGCCCGGCACCTCCTCATCTCTCCTGCTCACTCTCTCGCCATGTGACATACCTGCTCCCCCTCCACCTTCTGCCATGAGTAAAAGCTTCCTGAGGCCTCACCAGAAGCTGAGTAGATGCCAGCGCCATGCTTGTACAGACTGCAGAACTGTGGGCCAAATAAACCTCTTTTCTTTATAAATTACCCAGCCTCTGGTATTTCTTTACAGCAATGCAAAACAGATTAACATCCCATATAACCCAGCACTTCCACTCCTAAGTATATACCCAAGAGAAATGAAAACATGTTTCCACACAAAAACTCACATATGAAAGTTCATGGAAGAATTATCCATAATAGCCAAACAGCAAAAACAACTCAAATGTCCATCAACTGATGAATGGTTAAACAAAATGTGATATATCCATGCAATGGAATATTATTTGGTCATAAAAAGAATAATACATGCTAGAATATAGACAAACCTTGAAAACATTATGCTAAGTGAAAGAAGCCAGAAACAAATATTCCCATGTTGCATGACTCCATTTATATGAAACGTCCAGAATAGGCAGGTCCACAGAGACAGAAGGTTGTTTGCTGGGGGCTAGTGCTGTGGGATCAGGAATTAGGGAGTAATGGCCAAAGGGTGTGGGGTTTCTTTATGGGGTAATGAAAATGTTCTGGAATTCATGGTGATAGTTACAGAACTCCATGGATATACTTTTAAAAACCCCTCTGATTCGTACATTTTTAAGAGGTGGTTTTACGGTATGTGAATTATATCTCCATTTAAAAATGTATCCTCTTCAACAAAAGCACAGGTGGGTACCTGTCCACATGGAAAGCTTTGCTTGGGGCAGGACAGGAAGTCATTCATGCAGCATGTATCTTTAGAAACTTACAACAAAAGGTGGCAATGAGTTCTGCCCTCACCCGTGACAGATAAACATCCCTTCTCCAGAAGAGCCTGCCAGCAGGAAGGGCAGCTCGGAGCCTCTCACAAAAAGTCTGCAAGGAGCAGCCCAGTCCTGACTTCTCTGGACACCTGGGAGTTGGATTCAGTGGTCTCTGCAAACACACACTTGGCCAGAAAGTCCTGAAGCCAGTTTCTTGTATGGGCAACAGAGGAAGGTGGGAGGACTGCTGGAAGTGAGAGGGCTGAGGGGCGACAGAGCCAAATAAGATGAGGCTGCAGTAGCCTGAGATAGTGCCACTACACCCCAGCCAGGGTGAAGAGCTAGGCTCCATCGCAATAAAGAAAAAAGAAAAACCACTGCCTACATTCTGGCCATGGTCACCTCTCTTCCTCAGTATCAGAACCCTGGCTTTGCTTGGGAAAAAGGGGATCAGGGCCACACGCTCAGTGACAGAGGAGAGGCCTGACAGAGGACTCAGGGCCACTGAGATCACCAGAGCTGCTGCACCTGCCCTGACCTGCAACCTCTAGTCTAGGCTTGTGCGGTTGGGGAAAGTTAAAACCCCTAATTTGCTGAAGCTGCTGCTTTCAGGTTCCTGCTATTTACAACTGAATCCATTCTCTACCGGTGAACCTGGGGACAGGGAGTTCTGAAAACAACCAGATTTGTC